AAAATCATAAATTACTATATCAATACCATAGAATTCCACTATAATTTATCAAGCTTAGTAATGATTAAGCTGTATTTGGGTCTAAAAAATATGAAATTTTGAGCTCACTAAAGTTTTACTTTACAGCTTGGAATCTAGCATGAAAAGAATAAATTTGTCGACCGATTACCTCAAAGAGGCTGAGAAAACCACTAGGGGGACATTCTGAGCTTTCAATTAGTTATTCACGTGTCATAGACAGAAGTAGGTGTATGTAACTGTTTCCAAAAATGGAAAGAAGTGGGTGGGACCACTGTGTTTGATTCAGTAAATGTAGCGATATCTCAGCAAATAGAAAAAATAGGAAGTTCTTATTTTATATTCTAGCTTGTCAATATTGGTAATTTGAGTATCTAAGTCACAAGAAACTATGGACTTTATATTTGGACATTACAAACATTTAACTTGAGCCAGTGCTGCATTCAATGCACCACATGGCACATAGAAATCAATATTTAGAATTTCTTTTTTAATCTTTACTTTTAAATTAAGAAATTAACTGATGTATAATACTAAAATTTGAATTATAATGTACAAATTGATACCCAACTTACTGACATACATTCATAAAATAGTAGTTCAATAAACTTTTGCATGCGAGTTAACAAATGAAATTACATGGCCTTTGACCTGTGACCCCTGTTGATAGGGTTAATAAAGGTCATTAAACTTTTAAAATAAAAAAATATTTTTTAATATGTAGCTCTTAATAACTGTTCTGCATTGCCATTAGTACTAGAAGCTCACCAAGTAACTCAAGTGGTTTTTCTTTTGTGCAGTTGATCTCAATTACAAGCAGTATTCTATACTCTCAATATATGTGTGGTTGTATTTATGTATGTATTATTCTTATGAGACCACGAATTATAAGATTGCCATTAAGGTATAATTCCTGTAATCGTTTGTATAAAACACTTACCAACTTTTATCTTTTTTTCTACATCCAGTATTTGGGTACACGTTATGATGGGAGTAACTGATTGTTGTCTAGTTTGATTATTATCATTTTTAAATTTAACAGAAAGTGATAAAGGTTTCACAAGATTATTAAATTCAACAGAGAGTGATCGTGGTTATTACAAGATTATTAAGTTCAATAGAGAATGATCAAGATTATCACAAAATTATTAAATTCGACAGAGTGATCGTGGTTATCACAAGAATATTAAATTAAACAGAGAGTGATCATGGTTATCTTAAGACTTAAATTTAACAGAGCGTGATCATGGTTATCACAAGATTATTAAGTTCAGCAGAGAATGATCAAGGTTATCATAAGATTATTAACCTCAACAGAGAATGATCAAGGTTACCACAAGATTATTAAATTCAACAGAGTGATTGTAGTTATCACAAGAATATTAAATTAAACAGAGAGTGATCATGATTATCACAAGACTATTAAATTTAACAGAGAGTGATCGTGGTTATCACAAGATTATTAAGTTCAGCAGAGAATGATCAAGGTTATCATAAGATTATTAACTTCAACAGAGAATGATCAAGGTTATCATAAGATTATTTGTGGATGTTGTACAAAAATATGACATTGACATTAAAGTGAGGTCAAAGTAGTACTAGTGTCATGCTGAAACAGTGTCTCATTTTCAAACTTAATTGTGTGTTAGTTTCTTATGGACAATAAAAAAATATAGCAGAATTATATTTTATGGAAGTAAGAACATTGTTTCTAATAGTAAGTATCGTATTTGTTTTCCAGAGTATTCATACTTTTGTTATTTTCTTGTCGGTTTATTTGCAGGTTCAACCCCTCATGCTTACTAAGGAGTTGCTTAAGAAAATACAAAATAGTATTCTTATAGTAGAAGTCTGGGATAGAGATATTAATGATGAAGATAAAGTAAGTGAAAAATATTTTTTTTGTGTAACATGACAAGGTATTAAAACTATTTAAATCTTTAAATTTCTCAACATCATCAAACTACGGATATTTTTGATAAATATATATCATTTTCATTTGAGTTAAAAAAATGTTTATTTTCTTTAATTTGCTTAAAACATTTTATACATTGCTCATGTGATACAAATTACTTTTCCAGAATGCCATCAAATGTTATGAATATCAGAATGGGTTGTGTAATGAAAAATTAACTTTAATAGTATATTACTTTTAGGCTTACGGAACAAATTAGTTTATGTTGATAATATTTAAATGTTGTTTTTTTATCACCATAAGCTACTTTTGTATACTGCAAGAAATCAGTTTAAAAGCAGTATTTGTACTACTAATTAATTTCTCTTTACTGTTTAGCAGGACATTATTAATGAATAATAATAACTTTCAGTCAGAGCATGATGTATACTTATTAAAAACTGAAAACATCCTGTCAATCAGCTATTTAAATATACTTAAAAAACAACCTAAAGGTGGCAGGAGTTTAGTTTAAAGGAAGAGAGAACAACATGAGAGTTGTTGGCTCTACCAACTTGGGTGTTTATCGTTCCCCTTCAACCTCGCGCATGAAAATGTTTCTGAATCATGGTTAGTTGTATTGACAGAAGGCTGTGAAGGAGTTTGGAGAAGACACAAAGACCTTGACGTTGAAGAACTTCTTTTCCATTGTGTTTGATTGTTGTTTATTTTATGTTGATGATGTGAAGAAGTGAGAGACCATGTCTCTTGTGACTGAAGTATCCAGTTCCAACATATACTACCTAGTATTTCAGTTTGTGTTAGCAACAATATATGGTGAAAGGTTCCGGTTGGTATTGGACTTATTAAAATATCAAATTCGATTCATAACCTTTTGAATTGATTGAGCAAACCATCGTGATAGGGGCCCTTTTCGGGGGGGCTGGGGGCTGGGACCAATGACCCGATGAATTTTGATGTGTGTGTGGTGGGGGGGGAGGGGGAACTGGAGTACCCGGTGAAAACCCACTTTCACAGGACAGATGCCGAATAATCTATCTGTTCTGTGCCCTGGCAGTTAGAGAAAACATGACACAATCTTCAAACCTCAGGAAGTGTGGGTGATTGTTTATTCTTTGTTTTTCTGTTTGCAAAACAACTTGTATGGTGATGTGTATTTGAGAGGAACGCTTGTGATTTTGTGTAATGCAGCTGTAAGTTTGTGTCTTTTTTCTACTTTGTTGTAGTACTGGTAGACAAGCTCAGTTAGTTTATTTTTTTAAAGTAGTTAGGTTGCTAATTTTATGTATAAAACTTACAGGGGTAAATTTTGGAAGCCTTATGGCTAATGTAATTGCTCTATTTTGTTACAGTTGTAATTTTTTGAGGTTATTGTCTGAATGTTGTATGTTATCTGACAGCATTATTCAATTAGGGGGCATATAAATGTTTTATATATTCCTAGAGTTGTGTCTGGTGTGCAGCCTGTATGTTTTCCAGCAATGGAGTCTGATGTAGTTGGTGCGTTTACTAATTGACGCATGTATGTTTTTAACATGCTTATTCCATGTGTGGCGTGTGTCAAAGATGATGCCAAGATATTTAATATTATTGCTCATTTTTATTTCTCTCTCTCTCCTAACTTTCATTTGATTTTCATCAGGGTTTTTATGTGTTTTTTGTAATTTTTTGAAAAAGGTGATTGCTTGTGTTTTTGTTGGGTTTAATATAACTCGCCATATGTTACACCATTCTAGAATTAAATTCAGTGATTTTTTTTTATCTCGGTTAGTTCCCAATAGTAGGTTTCTTGATATGCTCCAGACAGCTATATTATCGGCAAACTGAGAATGATATGTATATGTTAGATTGGGGAATGGGATGTAATTTCGAAATATGATGTTTCGGCGTGGCAAAAGAAGTGATCTTTGTGGCACTCCTGTGGTAATATTAAATGTTTTGGATAGTGTATCATTAACTTGGGCTGTTCTATCGACCAGAAAGTTAGATATCCGTCTAATTATGTTTTTTTTTAATATTCAACTGTTTTAGTTTATATTTGATGGCATTGTGCCAAACACTATCAAAAGTTTTTTTATCATCTAAGAATACACCTATGGTAGCTTTATTGTCATTGAATGATTTATAAACAGATTCTGTTAATCGTGTGAGATGGTCTGTTGTTTGTCTGTTTTTTCTTGATGCATTTTGGATGTTTGATAATAAATTATTTGTTTCACAGAAGAGCAGCATTCTGATAGATATTATTTTTTCCATTAGCTTGCGAAGATAACAACAAACTAATAGTGAAGAAGTTATCAGGGTTAGATTTATTGGTTTGTTTTTTGGGTATTATGGTGATTATTGCTTTTTTCCATGTTTCTAATCACCAATTAGAAGTGATAGATTGATTATGTTCGTGAGGTGAAATAGGAGAAGGTCTGAAGCTTTTTTTCAGGACAATATTTCTTATCCTTTCATGATGGGGAGCTGAATTCTTGATGTTTTTATGTTAACTTTTAGTTCTTTGAGTGTGATCTTTCTATTTATTGAGTTATGTTCGATTGTTGGTGAGTTATGTAAGATGTTGGATGGGAAACACTGGGTGAAAATTGTTGGATTTGTGTTGATGTAATTATTTACCTGGCTGTGGTTTTGAGTGATAATGTTCGGGAAAGTTAGGTTGCTAAAAGAAGTTTTGTAATAATCGGCTAGTAGAAATGCTTTGTCTCAATCTGTTTTAGCTGTAATGTTGTGTTTTATTTGGTGAAGTACAAAATTGTTAATTTTGTTAGCTGACAGGGATTTAAATTTTTGACAATTTACTTTAGGTTTACTTTGAGAGACTTCTAGGTATTTGCAAAGGTCCAGCAAGTTGGTCTCTTTTAATGTTGTGTTTTATTTGTGTGTGTAGTCTGTTTATCTGAGTTTTAAGGTTAAGATCACTTAAAATGTAATGTTGTCTTTTGAGATGTCTTTTCCATAATTAAAGAATGTATCTTGGGAGTTAATGTCCAGTGATTACTTGAGTATTCTTTTGAAGCTGAGGTGGTGGTGTCACTGTAGATTTGCTGATAGCATTAGTTACGTTTTTCTACATAGGTGTCAAGTTCGTATTTATTGTTTATGCGTGTGATTATTGGTGGTAAGTGAGCATTAAGTGATTCATTAAATGAGTGCCAGTCGGTTTTAGTGTAGTTGTAGACTGGTGGGAGGTCTCATGGTGTCAGGAGTCTCTGTGTGTGAAGCATGCATGATATAGGTAAGTGATTGCTTGAAATTTCTTGTGTTTTTGTTAATAAGTTGGTTGAGACTATTATTAAATCTAATATGTTGTACGTGTTTGTAGGTGAGTTGTAGTATCATTAATAATCTGCAGGTTTTTCATATCTAATAAATCACGTATTATTTCTCCTCTTTGTGAATTTCCATTTACATCTTTATGTGGGGTATTCAGATCGCCTATATTTAGGGGTTGTGGGGCTTTTAGACATACATTGTTGTAAATAGTTAGTGTCAATGTTTTTTGATGGTGAACAGTAGATAGCTATAATTGGCATGGATATTCTATTATTTATGTGGATGTTGCAGAAATTAGTTTCATTAATATCAGTTTTAAAATTCTCTTCTATTGATGTAATGTTAGTTATGCTATTGTTGAAATACAGTACCATGCCTCTATTATTTTGACTATATGGTAGGTGGAATGATTTAAATCCTGGAATATTTATGTTTTGGTTTTCCTTGACTAGTGTTTCTCATATTATTAGAATGTCAGCTTGGACTTGTTTGTTTAAATTGTGAATTTCAAATTTTTTGCTTATTAAATCACTTTGATAATTAAAGTGTAATATTTTTACCGTGTCTGTGAATTTTGTGCTTGTTGTGCTCAATTTTTAATTTTATGTGATATATATGGTGTAGTTTGGAGTTTGGCATGAGAAAGTAGCATCTGACTGTTGAACAAAAGTTTTGTAGAAATTCTGTTAATGTTGAAGATGATTCACATAGCGATGTTGGTAGAGCTGGGTGTGTTTGGGCAGCTGTTTTGTTGTAAGCTGGTGCATATGTGGCTGTGCTGGTGTTTCTTGGTGCTGTAGGCTGAGCTAGTGTAGCAGGGTTGGGATGGTGTTGCATGTTTGTGTGTTGTGGTGGTGTTTCAAGAAGTGGTTGGTGTTGTTGTTGGGATAGAAGTGGATATTGTATCATAGATGGAGGTGGTTGTGTGTTATTAGTTTTGTATAGAACTCTATCCCTTATTAGCTGGAACTAAGGACAAGCTCTAAAGCTAGCAGTGTGTGGGCCCTAACAGTTGGCACAAGTAACCTGGTCTTACCCATTCGGGCACTGGGCTACCTTGTGTTGACCGGCACATGTAACACATCTTTGGGGAGCAGTGGAATATGGTTTACTGTGCTCGAACTTCTGGCAGTTGTAACATTGTAGGATTTGTCTCGCTGGAGTCTTTGCTGGTTCTGTATAGTGCTTTTTAAAAAAGAGTGTACAACCATCATTTAGTAGTTACTTTAACTAGTGGTGCTTTCTGTTTGGTTATGAAGGAAATGATGCATTCTACTTTAGTGATAGTGTAACATAATGTTTTAAGCTCGTTACTGATTTTGTTATCTTCACTGTTGATGTCGATTCCTTTGATAATGATGGCTGGTTGTGAAGTGGTGTTCTTTGGCATGTGAATTGTGGCTTTGCTTTCAAAGGCAGTGTTTGGCCAGTGGGCTAAAATGTGTGCATACTTCTTAGAGGAGCTGCACTTGAGTAGAATTCCTCCTTTTGGAAGTTTTCATATGTCTTTTAAAGTTTAAATTAGAGAATAGTTTCCTTATCTTAGTAACAGTCTGTGGTATTCTCAGTGACTGTGGAATTCCCTCAATGATTAAGGAGGGAATGTTGTATTGTTTGTCCTTGGTGTTGGTGGATGTTGTGTTTTGAGTGTTTGGTGTTGACTTACCACTAGGCTTATTACTATAATC